TCCCTTGAACCCCCTAAAAATTAGTTCACAGTTCTGTTACTCTTAGGAATAAAGTTATGGTTTTCAAATAGGAAAAGCAATCAAAGACAATACAATTCATTTCAAATTATTGTAGGCTATTTTAATTTAACATAAATAAAATGTATACCTGGACACAGAGATCCAGTGGGGTGACTCCATTTTTGTCTGGTAAATATTTGGCTCCTCTCATCAAAAGGATTTGTGCAGTGTCTCTCTGACCATGGCTGTACAAAACATGCGGGGGGGGAGAAAAAAAAAACAACACTTTACAAACATTTAGTTCATGAGAGTTACAACAGTTTAGATGAAACAGCTAAATCAGCAGAGCAGCAGGTATTCTTCCCAAACTGATTCCAACAGGAAGATCCCATAAAAATCTTTAAAGAGGAAGAAAGGTTAGAAGAGAGCTCCATTTCTTGTTCTTTTGACACTACTGAGAATCTGCATTCCACACCTATTGGAATAAGCTTGAAATAACAAGAGGTGAACTAAAATGACTGGCCTAGATCAGTGTTGCCCAACCAGTGTGCTGTCAGGCACATCCAGGTGTGCCACAGCATTTGGCCCTGAAGCCACACCCCCTGCCTGGCTGGAGCCAAGCCCCTGCCTGCTGCTGCTGTGGACACAGACAGACAGGGAGCATGGCTCCAGCCAGGCAGTGGGGTGTGGCTCCAGCCCAAAATGCGGTATGGCTGGCCATGAAAAATAGTTTCCAAGAAACACTGAGCTTGGAAGTATAAATAAGATCTTCATAGTACTTCTCCAATGGACTACAGACATTCTTCCATGTAATTCTGAGTCTGTCTACCCAGCAAAGGAGGGTACGCTATGAAACTGGAAGCAGAGTAACATACGTTGCACTTACTGCAAGGAATTAGTGCAGAGTGCATTATAAATTCACACCATGGATTACTCCACAGTAACTTTCACAGGACAAAAAATATACTTGTTGAATGAGATATTATGGTTGCTTTCAGTGCCTAGAAGCTACCCCAATTACCTGTCATCATACATTCTTATTTAATGTTCTAGCTATCCATAACTCATGTGGATGGGTTTACAATAGATTTAAAAGGATAAGGAAATAGAAATGGTCATTAATAAATTCATGTCATACACACTATTTCTGTATTACTGAGGTTGCATAGATAAAAAAAGAATTCTGTCATTCAGCATATTACTCCGGCAATATTTTTTTGTACAGTAAGTTTTTCTGTTTCGTCTAATCTAGGATTTAAATGTGCAGAGTGAAAATCTTAGGGCCCCTAATGCAGCAGTCAAGCTCTCCCCCAATCTAACTGTCAAATATAACTGCTTCATGCAATGTACAGTTAAGTACTTTAATGGGTCACCACTAGCTGAAACAAAATGAAACCAAAAAGTGAAATACCAGTAATATGCCAAAAATCCCAATAAACACTTTAGCAACCTAATTTTTTAAAAATAAAAAGGCAAAAAATAGACAGGCATACTTCTATGAACCATGTAGTTTGAGGCCTATAGTCACTAGAATACATACACTGCTGTGGGGTGTGTGTACACATATACACACTAGTATTTTACAAATATTGCTTACCTGCACATACCCTAACTTGCAAGACAGAAGAGATGAAATTTAGCTCTTGAAGGACTGACACAAAGGTTTCTGCACCAATTAAACAGCAATTGTATTTTCCCCTCTGCAAACAGAGCAGGCACACAGGGCAAGAATTACTGGACAGCCCACTACCCAGATCCAATTTCCATGATACTAGGGCTGCTGCTGCGACTCCAGCAATACAAAACATATGCTGCGTTACCATGCTCTGATCTGACACAAAACCCCAGGTAATCTGATTTATGTACATTATATGAATTTCATTGAAATAATATACTTTTGTTAAGCCCTATAAATCTATAAACAATGAAAATCTTATTTCATGGCTATCTTGGGAAGATGAACATTAATATACAACTGGTTTCTAGAATTAGTACCTGGGGTTCTCTCCTTGCCTTTCTGAGTCCCAAACAAGAACTGTTCATTTCAAGAAATTACCATTCTGCCGCCTGTGCATCATTTTCTTTTCTAAAAACCTGGCTCCAATCTGGAGCAAGCTACTTCTTCTAAAGGTAGTGCCAATACCAGTGCCTAAACTAAGTGTCAAGAGATGTTCAACTAACTAGTAGCTATCTATTATTCTCTCCTTCTTCTCTCCTCAAGTGTCCAGTCAAAGTATTTAAGCTCAAACAGACTTTGTCTTCTACAACACAGCCTTGTCAGGCCACCAGGTTAGCCCATTCTCCCTTTGTTTACATTAACATTTTAATCACAGATGAACTATTTAACCTGTAACCAAAACACTGGCATTATACCATTGTAAAATGTTCTAACAAATAGCTGAAACACTCTAATTAAAAAGAAAAAGGTATTCATCATATGTGATTAATTTAGAACTAAAATAAACAACAAAGACAACAGAATTGACTAAACAACAACTTAATTTCATTCCAATATTAAAGTCTTTAGGTCCTGCATGTACATCTTACATGATCAATTACTTAAAACCAATCTACGTTACATTTGCCAACTTAGAGAAGTGCATGTTTTAGTGCAAAATCATGTTTGACCACATTATATGCTAGCACCCCTCATAGTTATGGTTCACAAAACATTTCCATTACACTCTCAACCTTTTTGCAAGAAAAATTAAAAGATTTTTAAAAGAAAAGTAGAACAAAATTAGTGATATCAAAACATGGAAAGAATATAACCTGCCTATATTCCTGGCAGACTATTACCTTCAGATGGTTTGAACATTTCTTTGTCCTTAGTATTGGTTATGGAGAGCTGTATATGAAGAAAACTGAACTCACAAACAGCTGGTTAAATGCTTACTTTAATCATCCGGTTTAAAACATTCATAGAACAAAAGATTAATTTAGTCAAATCTGGGCCAGTTTCATATTTCTTGCTTTGACAAAAAAAATCAAGCCATAATTTAAGACATTTAATTAGTTTTCAATTCAGCAGTTTTCAAGTTATGACTCACATATTAATAGAAGCACAGGTACATATTAGTTTGCAGCATGGGACTTGTACATAGTATGTATTACTCAGACAGGGAAAGACCACATGCATACACCGCTAATATCACATTCAAGAGAAAGATTAAATGCAAAGTAAGGTTTCATACTTCCCAACGTAAATACTCTGCTATGCACTGGATTCCTGTAGTTGTGTGTACTTAAGTTATTTTTTGTTTAGCATTTGGAAGTCAAATATGCCATACCTGCAAGCAAAATAGAGTGGAGTTGCTCCCGACACATTGGGCCTGTTAATATCCGCACCACTGTCTAGCAAACATTGTACCGTCTTTTGAGAAGAGAGAAAAAAAAAGTCAGCTATGAATGAAGTCAAAATGTCTCTAAGCTTGAAACTGTTTAGTTTATCCATCTGTTTAGTCATGCAAAAGGATTTAATTTCCAGTAGTGAATCTCAAAAACAAAATTCCTAAGCACTTGGAAAATGACTGTAATTGTTATACCTCATAAAGCTTTCACATTCTGCTCAATTTCTCAAGAGTTAGCGTTTTAATACAAAGGCCTTTTATAGGACATTAGTCATTTGGTAAGACCCCTGAAATCAGATCCTAGATAAGCTTATACCAAAGTTAAAGCTGTACATATTTGTCAGTAACTTGAGGTTAACACATTCTGAAGTTTTAATTATATTTTCATTCTTAATGTGTTCTTTTGTGTATACTTAAAGTCAAAAACTACTGGTTTCAAGGGACATGAGCTTTCAAAGGACACAATCTATTTTGTCAGGCCTTAGCATCAGATGAAGTAGGTTGTTGCCTAAGAAAGCTCATGCTTCTCTGAATCAGCTAGTCTCTAATGTGTCACCCTGCCTTACCTTCTGCCAACTTCAAACTAACATAACTAACAACCTCTCTGAATATTTGGCATTAAAAAAGGGAATTAGAGTCCCACACTACTTTATCCCATTCATCTGAGGTAGCTGAGACTATAATAATCAGTCACAGGGCTTGTTGCTATCTTGAAACCTGGTTCTTGTATCTTCAGAACCCTTCTTGGTGGTTCATTCTTAACCACCAGTAGAATGGACTTGTACCAGCAGACTGTACATGAGAACCATTTCATATTCAAAGTGGTCACTATAACTCTAACTGAATCACATAAATCTATCCGAATGCAATTCAAAACAAAGAATCTATAATTGTTGATATTTTCCAAAGCAGCATGCTTAGTCCTAATGCAAGATCAGTTTCAAAGACTGTGCACACATGACTATATCTAATAAGAAGCAATCATGCTTCTAGGCTTCCTAATTTAAGTAACTATGTTGTGCACTGGCACAGTCCACAGACTCATTTGATTTTTTGAATTATTAAGAATTTACCAATTTAGATTTTATTTCAAACACATCCCAATAAGAAAATATTGTTAAAAAGTTATAAATGTGAATCCAAACACGTTATAATGAGTAATGGATGAAAAAACATTAAACATGACATCAAAACCTGCAATCAACTATGTAATAACAATATACATTAATCAACTACAGAAACAGCTGCAGGGCATACATTAAATCATTTAAACCCCTCCAGAAAACTGCAAGATCAATCATCCCCACAGGAATAAACCACTTATTCCCATACAAGTATATCCAGTTGAGATCATTTACTAAGATAAATGATAGATTCTTAGCATTCCTAACCTTTGTAGAAGTGCATGCCAAGCCTGAACTGTTTTTTGGAAGGGTACATTTTCTGAAACACTAAAGAGTTTTGCCAACTTTTTAATTACAATTCAAATTAGTTTTAAGAACTTACAGTCTTGTGGCCATTTTGGCATGCCACATGAAGTGCTGTCTGTCCCATGGCATCTTCAACATCTACATTACTGACATGTTGTACAAGATCATGAAGCAATTCTGTTCTCCCATTGACAGCAAGCCAGTGAATCTAAATAAAAGACATACAAGTATATATACCATCACAATGACTATGAAAAATATTAGTATTTCATAAACAAATATAAAAGACTGAAGGTGTACAACCAAAATTTTTATGAACAGAAGCACAAAACTGGACTTCAGTGCACATTTAGACAACTAGATAACATAGCCTGATATTCAAAGACACTGAGTGCAGAACAACTCCCTTTGATCTCTGGTAGATGGGTTAAGAAAAACACCCTCCACCTCTTTGTATCTGCCAAAAAACATAATAAGTAGATTGCCTAAATACCTTAGTGATAGCGACAGCAACCAGGGGACAGACAAGTAGAAAAGGACTTGGTGCTCCAACAAGTGTACAAGAAGAATGGGATTAGTGTAGGAAGAGCCCCATCTCACTCAGCTCTGGCCAATATAGATATTAGTCACAAATATACTATCATTTAATGCCACAAATGTCTTCTCACTGATTTGAGGTCAAGGCAGTTTGACAGAACTATGCAGACCATAGGGAAGTAAATCAAAATCCTACTTCAAAACATGAAAATCTGTCAGACTGTCCTAGCAAATCAAAAAAGTCATTTGAGAATGGAAAGCAGAGTTTCTGAAACAATATGTTATTTGAATTACAGATTTTACTGCTTTAAAAAAAATTGAAATTGGTTTTGTCACTGAAATGAAATTTTTTTATTTTTTTTTTTAATAAACTTCAAAACTATGATAGTTTTGCCAATGGCAGGCTGGCCAAGTACTCTGTAGGCAAAACTGACCGTCACTTCTACTAAATTCAGCATGTCATTAAATAATTCATTTCAAGAACAGCACTGAAATTTATAGCACTTACTGCAGTCAGACCTTCGTTATTACAAATGTTGACATCTGCACTGTATTCTAACAGCTTGCTCATACATTTCTTCTGACTGTAAAGGGAAGAACATATTAAATTCCAGCCATGCAAAATGAGAGAGGACCTGCAAATAGCTTGCTCCGGCCACTTGTACAGAGTATTTAATAACATGCATAAACTACAGAAAGTAAACTTGATTCATTACAAAGTAACCCTGATATATTTTTTAAAAAGCAAATGGTAACCAACAGGATAGAAAACTTATACAGCTTACAGGTTTATCTTAGGGCACAGAGAGGGAAAATGATGGGTTGTACAGACAGGTTTCTGTGTTACAGGTATCACAGTACTTAAGTGTCTTAGTCTTATATATAGTTAACATGACAGCATGGACTATATCTAAGAGAACTGGCCAGCTCATCAATTGATGTAAACTGATAAAGCTCCATTGGTTTCAACAGAGGTATATCAGCTTACACCACTGACCCACTGTTTAAAACACCACTTACTTTCACAATCACATAACTATATGGCAAACACAGCAATTACTTCCATAAAAAAGTACTAGAAAAAGTTTTTAAAGACTCTTTAAGTAACTTTTAATACTGCAAGAATTTTGCTGTTCATAACAGAAGATAAATCACACTTCTTTTCCATTTAGCTTGTTTGTCCAGTGTCTCCTGTTTCCTGTCATGTGAAGCAGCAAATGATCCTAGAGGCAATTAAGCTACCTCTACCTCTTTCCCAGTACTTTTCACAGACTTCTATCCTTGAAACACCACAAAAACCAAAAAAAAAAAACAGCATTATGACCAGTTCTCTTTCCTTGCACACAATGCTGCCAAACCTTGCCAAAAAAGAAACACAGGTTACAGTTCACACCAGGCAGGAGGAGGAGACACCAATGTTTTTAATGTAGCAACTTGGTAAAACTAAAACAGACACTTTTTATTGATGTAGTTAAAATGATCAAACTGGGAGTTTGAGTTTACTCAGATTTCATAGATTCAGGATCGGAAGGGACCCAAGTAGATCTTCTAGTCTGACCCCCTGCCCTGTACAGGAGAGAAAACTGGGCTCAAATGACCCCAGCCAGGTAAACGTTGAGCCCCCTCTTAAAGACCCCCAGGGTAGGAGCCATCACCACTTCCCTTGGAAGTTGGTTCTGGATCCTAGTCACCCTGACTGAAGTACTGCCTCTTGATGTCTACTCTAAACCTAGTCTCTAGCAACTTATGGCCGTTATTCTTTGTTACTCTGAGAGGCACTCGGGGGAACAAGGTCTTTCCCAAACCCCACTGGTCCCCCCTAATAAGTTTATAGACTCCCACCAGGTCCCTTCTCAGCCTTCTCTTGCAAAGGCTGAACAAGTTAAGGTCCCGTAGCCTCTCCTCATAGGGTCTGCCCTGCTGTCCCCGGATCATGCAAGTGGCCCTCCTTTGGACCCTTTCAACATTGTCCACATCCCTCCTTAAGTGTGGCGCCCAGCACTGGACGCAGTCCTCCAGCTGCAGCCTGACCAGTGTTGCATAGAGGGGGAGGATCACCTCCTTGGACCTGCCTGAGATATATCTGTGGATGCAGGACAAGGTACGGTTAGCCCTACTGACTCTGTTCTCGCATTGTCCACCCATGTTCATCTTGGAGTCAATAACGACTCCAAGATCTTTCTGCCACCATGCTTTCGAGAAGGGAGTTCCCCAGCCTACAGGTATGCTGCTTGTTCCTACTGCCCAAGTGCAGCACCCTGCACTTGTCAGTACTGAATCCCATCCTATTTTAATTTGCCCACCCCTGTAACCTGTCCAGATCCTGCTGTAATCTGTCCTTCCCTTCTAGCGTACCCACCTCACCCCAAATCTTGGTGTCTGCGAATTTAAACACGCTGCTCTTCACCCCGTCGTCCAAGTTGCTAATAAAGAAATTGAACAGTGCGGGCCCAAGAACCAAGCCCTGGGGGACCCCACTGCCCACTTCCCTCCAGGTCGAAAATGACCTGTCCGCCACCGCTCTCTGAGTACGACCCCTCAGCCAATTTGCAATCCATCCAACTGTATAGGCATCAATGCCACGGTCACCTAGCTTTTTAATGAGAATGGTGTGGGAGACGGTGTCAAAGGCCTTCTTGAAGTCCAGAAAGACTACATCCATTGCAACACCAGCATCCAGTGATTTTGTGACCTGATCGTAGAAGGCAATCAGGTTGGTCTGACAGGACCTGCCCCTAATGAAACTATGCTGGTTGTCCTTGAGCATCATCCCCATTGTTGGCCCATCACAGATGTGCTCCTTGACAATCTTCTCAAAGAGCTTCCCCAGGATTGAAGTAAGACTAATGGGCCTATAGCTGCTGGGTCCTCCCACTTCCCTTTTTTAAAGATGGGGACCACATTTGCCCTCCTCCAGTCGTCCAGCACCTGGCCAGATCACCGTAAGTGCCCGTAAAGCCAGGCCAGGGGCCCCACGATAACCCCTGCCAATTCCCCAACACCCTGGGGTGTTAAGGGAGATTTAAGTTACTTCCTTTCATCAGAGACTGAAGCAAGCCAAACCACCTGAAATTCAAGAGATTTCTTGTGCATCCCTTCAATTCCTCCAGTGCACTCAGAAATGCAAAAATGTTCACTCACAAGTCACTAGGAAAGGATGAGAATAGCTCAATCTGCTGCTGCACACGAGCCCTTGTATATTTCCCCAAAGACATGAAATGCAAGCAGGCGAGTGCAGCATCAGTGAGGATGGTGTGACTGCAGCATGGCTCTGCACATTTGATAGGTTAATCCATGTGTTTAATTTAACATCAACTCACCTGGGGAAGCTAAACTGCCAATTTAAACATACTGCTAACTGGACATTTAAATTTCCATTTGACAATACTTATGGTCCCTCAAGAGACAATGCCATTGTATTTTTAACTAGAAAAATCTAGGGGTAATAAAAATTTATGACTTCCTTTTTTCTCCTTTTCCAGTAAAGAATTTTATAAGTGTTAACTGGAACTAGAGATTGACAGCTTTCAAGACCCCCAGCACTTGAAAGCTTTTTGGTAATGCACTCACTGCTAAGTTTTATATAAGGAATAGCATCCAAGATGTAATACACAGAATAGAGACCAGGGTGGATAAAATCAACGATTTAAAAAAAATATATAAAAATGGATTTTTTTTGTAATTACATAAAAAACCGATTAAAATATACTTTAGTCTTTAAGATGCTTTAAAAAAATAAACTTATATAAAGATTGTTTTAATTTAAAATATGTTAAAGCTCAAATATATCATCAAGGAACAGAGATTATAACTTTCAGTTATAGACTATTTGAGACACTATATTCATGTAAGCTTTTAAAAAGTTTTATAAATAGGTCACAACAGGCCATGGACTATATTAGGGGCCCAAATTGCTGGGGCTCCTAGAGGCTCCTCTATGGGTTAGTAAAGATTAAAAAAAACCACTCTACCCAATGTGACTCAGTGCTCAGTTTAGAAGATCCCGTTAAGCATCTACTCTTTCCTACTGTGGCAGGGGGTCAGACTCAATGATCTGCTCAGGTCCCTTCTGACCATACTAACTATGAAACTATCTCTGTGATGCTTCGTTTCAGTTCTTAAACTGTGGATTTGTGTCTCCAAAGATATCATAGGCAGACAAAGTTCTTTGGTGTGAATATGATATCTTTTATTAGACCAACTAAATAGTTTGAAAATGGGTTCTTTGCAAGCTTTCAGGCACAAACACCCTTCTTCAGGCATAGGGAGAGTCTGTTGTCTCCAGAGATAACATCCTTGTTAAGGGCAGTATATGGAGATAAGAGATAATAGACCTGATTACCCACCCATCAGCCCTACTGTCTCTCTGCAAGTCTGTGTACACACAGTCAAGCCTTTACCCTTCTGTAAAGGTGCAAAGTTTCAAGAAGTTGAATGAATAAAAGATATCAAACAGCAAGAATGCACTTTTTGTATAAAACAATGATTAAATCAAAGCTCCCTGACCAGTGATTTAAATTGTTATTTAAACCATGATTTAATCAATTTGATTAAAATCAAATCCACCCAGATAGGGACGTGCACAATCCACTCCCTGAACAACTTACACCATACAAAGACAAGAGAAGGATGGGGACAGGATTGAGAAAGAAGAGAAGTCAGACACATCAGATAATTTCATGGGAATTTTAGTAATAGTGTCATTATTAACAACCATAACACATTTTAAAATAGAATCCAACTCTAGGATTGCTGCTAATATTACAGCTATGTTTAAAGACACAACCTGAAAAAAGTCACACTCCCATATGAAAATAATACAGTTATTACAACAGACCCCTCCAGATTTCTTTCTGTTCATATTATGTATATTCAGTCTCACTTCTCTGCTGATCAACTGTAATATGCACTTGCATATTACTAACAGCCACTGTTTTAGGGCAATTATGCTCAAATCAGGATGACACAGTACCCTGGGGTGCTATGATATCCTTTTATGGATGCCAAGGGGTGCTGCACAATATTACCACTTTTGGATGAGCAAACACCCATATATGATTCACAAGATACTGAAAGCTGTCGAAGATGAATCCCTGGTATCAAAAACATTCTGACCTGTGGTAGTCTGAGTTCTCTGCAACAGAAAAATTACTCTATTATTTCACCAGGGTCAAAAAAAAATGAGTGAAAGCTAAGAGCTGGCATGTTCCAAGGGATGCCCTGAATCCAAAAAGGTTGAGAACAACTGCTGTAGAGACCTCATGCATATCCTTCCTTTCGCAATTAAATCCATCAGTCACGAGAGCCAGAAAAAAAAAAAGTGACACAGAAGAGGCACTAAGGCAGCATGTATAGAGAGGGTAAAAGGATCAAGTGGAAAGGTACAAGTCAACATTCTAGAGCTCTACTGCTCCCAAGCATGCCAAATATACACTTTCAACCATTAACCGAATTACCAGAGAAGTCCAAAACCAGATATTAAGAGCAGCAATAAGCCTAAGCCTTGTTTTATCCTATTAGTGCACACCTATATGCAGATGCATGCACACACGCATGTAATATTAGTCTTCCTAACAGACAATTCCTATGGAGAACACAGTTTGCTACTCAGGTAACAAGAAGTTATCTCAAATGTGAAACCACTTCAACTTCCTTTTCCAGATCCTGAATAAACCAATTCACACTTTACTCCTTCAGTTCATTAACCTGGTTTATTAAGAGTATCACAAATGATTACAGTACTGAACACCTGTGATTCTTTGCACGAACTGTTGACAATTTCTTCAACTGTCAAACTGGTAATTAGAAAAAAGTGCTTAAATGGTTACAGCAATTCACATATATTACTTATATTTACATAGCAATTAATATTTAATGTTATCTTCTTTCAAATAAAAATTTACACACACAAACTCAAGGTGAATACACTTTCTATGGTTTTGCTTTCAAAACTGAAAAGCAAAAAAACACAATTTAACTTGCATGAAAAAAAGAATAGTATTAACTAGGTCTGGGATGCCTTTCAGAAGGTAATTATTTTCCTTACCCATTTCTTGCAGCTAAATGCAGTGGTGTGCATCCAGAGATATCTTGATAGTTGGGATTTGCCCCTTTCTTCAACAACAGAACTAGACATTCAACTGATCCACAGCTGATAAGAGACAGTGAAAAGAAAGACAGAAAGAAAAAAAGTTATATACATACATGCACATACAATACACGCACAAATAATCTCAATCAAATGAATTTACAGTTGAGTCATAGCAAGCAGACAAGAGGCTTAAAAGCCAAACTAGCACTGATACACATTTGCATGCAACTTCATTCATTTCCATAAATTAAAGCCAGCACAAAATGCAGAATTTATATCTTTTTTTCCCCTTGATGTAAAACAAAAAAAAAAAAAAAGACACTGCACTGAAGTGTTTTCATTAAATTTACAGAAGACTTATTAAGCTTAATGCAACTGTTGGGGCCTTTCAAATGCAAGTACCATATTTACTCAGATACAAGATTAGGTTCCCCCTCCTCCCCCCACAATTGTCATGGGGGGAAAAGCCCCTCTTCTTGTAACTGCATATAAGGAAGTCTTACTAAATACATTGTCTATGATTAAACTGCTGTCAAAAGCAGCATGTGCTCAGCAATGGAAACCAACTATGAAGTTGATGAAATGTAGCCAACACTGAGCATGACTGTAAAACACTTGGCCCACATTGGTCCATAATTGAAACCTACACTTTTTTATTTTTTTTTTATTTTAAAGAAATGTTTTCGTGTCCCAGGTCAAATTAACCAGATCAGATCTAAATCCATTTGAATCATCCAAGAACCATATGTAGCCCTGCTACCAGCAAGTATCTTCCACCCAGCCTGGGGCTTCAGATACTTCCAAATCCTTTGGCAGGCATCCTAAGTGCAGGCCCAAGCCCAGAGACTTGGCGTTCGGATGCCCCTGAGTTTTGCTTGCCCTCAGCCATATGGCCACAAAAAGCAAGCTAGGGAAGAACCGAACTTACCACAAGAATAGACTAGCATAGCCCATTTGAATAAGACATATGATAGTGCCCTGTAAGCACAGTTGCCCTCAGTGCCAACTCATTTTCAAATCCTGGTGAGCCACAACACTGCATATATTTTTACTTCCTCTTTGTTTCCACAGCTGAACTGTGCCTTTCTTTCACTTTTCCACCTATTCCTGTTTTTTCACCAGTCTTAAATGCTAACAGGGCCGCAAGCAATTCACCCTGAATCCCTCTATTACCCCTCCTCTCAACCAGGCACATATGATTAGTTGTGGTCCCACCCTCCATCAGATAAAGCTGGACCAGGTTACCCTGACCTTCATCTGCATATATATTTTTGGACAATCCCAGGACTTGTGACAAGAACACCCAGTTCCAGTCTTGCGTGGAGGCTAATTAACATATGGATCCTTTGGGGTGTGTGGGGTACACGCACATACCAAGCAGTGCTGACCTGTGGGGTCACCATGGCTTGAAATGCTGTTGACTCTGCTGGGGCCCAGCCCAATACACTATGCAATAAATCATGAGTCTTTGGCTTTGGATTAATATTGTTTGGAATTTATGCTACATACCAGTAGATCAGAAGTATGTTTATGTGATAGAACATGCATCAGTTGTTTTTCTTTAAGGTAATATCAGTTCTGGATAAACTAAGTGCAGGGATACTATGTGCATCAAATTGCTACAGCCGTGTTTAATTTCAAGGTTATTGTTTTCAAATGTGAGCCTGGTATCTATGTGCTAAGGGGCAGCAGGGTCTGACAGTAAAGAGGGGGAAGGGGCTGCCAAGGGAAAAAGGTGGGGGGAAGCAAAGAGCAAGGGGCTATTTGACCCCTCCAGATTTATTTTCCCTGCTATAGCAGTGAAGGGGGACAAATTCAATACCTCCAATAATTAGATTTTATACGTGGAAAGTTATAACAAATGTATACATTTTCATATATTAGAATCTAATAATGGGGAGGTCATCTCATAATTAAAGTCATCATCTGCTTAAGTAAATACAATAGTTTTGGTTAAGTACAGAGAAGTATCAAACTGCTTAATTTGCTCTTCCTTGACATTATGCTTATTTTTCCCCCATCCAACTTGCCCTTTCACAGCACCAGACTTGGCAGCAGACATCTAAACCATTTTTATTATAATATTATTTTTATAAAAAGTTTAAGAGGTTTCTTTTTCCCAAGAAACGTAAGCACACGAAATTAAGCAAAGTCAAAAAGAGGAATAGTTACATGACATCCAAATACCTGACTTTACTACTAGTTTTGTTAGCATATAAACACATAGTTCTCAAATTAGCCAGTGCTATCCAGAACTGTAACTGCCATCAAGAAAATTCTAAACAGAACAGGAAGGAGTAAACACTGAATACATTTCTGGTTTCCATTTTCTCTCTCTCATCTATGACCCAAGTAATCTAATATTCCTTATTAAAGGAATAGTCCATTTAGCCACAACACTAAATATATTCCTAATGTTACTGAATTCAGAACTTAAGTTACTGTTTAATACTTTAGTAATGGGTTTGTCTGATCATTTGTTGACAAAAGTTAAGGTACTTAGGAGGAAAAAAAATATTAGAGCTCTATCCCAGGTAAGGCAAGGAAAACTACTTTTCCAAGTATGGAATACAAAATCTATTCAAAAAACAAATTACATTTTACACAATTAAACTAAATTCAATTTTCAATGATTAAATGCATGTTACTGAAAAGCTTTGCTTCCGAATATTCTATTTTCATAGTGCTCAAATGGCTCCTGTTGCAGAAGTTAGTTAAGTATAAGTCTCCTCCAAGCTCTAGAGCTAGGCTTTTTTTGAGAGTCTAAAAGTAGTCACTATCTTGGAATTATTCATAATGCAAATTAAAAAGAATGTTTATCCATTTAAGGTTCAATTTTCTGTAAGGCAATTCCAACAACCTTCCCTCCTACTCCTACTAAATATGGTAGTAAGCTTGTTTCTCAAAATAGAGATTTACCTGATGGGAAATAAACAGAAACATGCATATATTAACAAGTTTCTTAGACTGACTATTAGAAAAACATGTCAAATGATTCATTTAGTATATACAGGCAGGCACTTCAGCCTGGATATAAAAAGTTTAGATTATTAAAAATAATCAGTACCCAACCTCAATTTTTTCCCTGTCCAATTAAGAGCTGACAAGGGAGCACCTCTCCCTAGTGTGACAAAAAAAAATATTTGAATGTTTCCCACACACTTTATATTATGACAATTAGACAAAATGGCTGTGAGTACCACCAAAATAAGCAGAGCTTCAAATACTTTGGAACAAACTTTGACAGCTAGTAGTGATGAAGATAAGGTCTGTCTGGGCACCTAACTCCATACAGGCTTTATTTCTCACCCAACATTCCCATTTCTGAGAAAGAACAAAGCAATAAACAGCAGCCAACATTTTCTTTCATTAGGATATGGAAGACAGACACTACACTAAAATTGTGCATTTAGTCTGGCCAGTTCTATGTTACAATCAACTTTAATTATACCAGTAAATTATTTAAGAAAACTTTAGAAGAAACACGTAATAGTAAAATACATTAAAACTAAGGAAGGGTAAGTCTAGAAAACAGGTGTATTTTTTTCCAAATGTCATCTCTTAGACACAAACACCACATTAAATCTTACTTTGCTGCAATATGAAGCAAGCTCCTCTTCACCCTTCCAAAAGCATAATTAACATCGAATTTTGAATTTGATAGTAGCTCTGAAACAGACCTTAAACAGAAATGAGGAAAGAAAGTCAAAAAAGAATTTTGTCAACTCTCACACACATTACAATACACGCTATTTTGTGATCAGGTATATATCTATTTTATCATCATCAAAACAGACCACCCTTTTTCCCTTACTGGTTATAAGAGGCAGGATTCCACAGCTCCTAGGATGCCTGCCTTTCTCTTCTGCTTCTGAGTTCAGTATGGCATGGACAAATATACCATACTGTGTGGTTGTTTTGTACATATGTAACTGAGGTGAATGAGGACAAGACATCCAAAACATTTCCTTACTGCAGACTAAGGCAACCATTATAATGGCTTTCTTTAGACAACTGTAAGTTTCATCTAAACCAATTCCTCCTTTTCTCACACTTCTTTTCATATATCTGGCAAATTTCTTAAACATATGCCAAATTTAGATAACAGAGCGCTAATGTAACAAAATTAGGGAGGAATATTATTCTGAATTGCAATTTTAATGCAAGACATATGAAGCATCAATAATATGTGAAACTTTACTAGGAACCTACAGTCCTTGACAGATCATGGAATTAATTCAGATACAACTGTTCAAACTGAGTTTCATATGTAATATCAGACCAAAAAAACCAAAAAAAAGATACTGTACAGAAGGACACACATCTATTCAAGTAACAAATCAAAAAATTTGAACATGGTAAGAAGATGCTTCTTAATTGCCTTCAAAACTCAACAGGGACAGAGGAGAGGCATAAAACTGGTTATGTGCATCCTTCATATTAATCCCAAAGCATCATAATGAACAGCTCTGCTTTCTCACCAACAGCTGTCATATATGGCAGGGGTGTCAAACTCATCTAACCCATGAAGGGCTCGCTGGGGGCTGGAAATCTGGTGATAAGGCAAGTGTCAGTAGAAGTAATTGGTGTGGGCCACTGTTCATCCTGCCACCAAATTCTCATCCCTATGGGCCAGATGGCATGGTTCCTCGGTCCAAATATGGCCTGCAGGCCACATCATTAACACTCCTGATCTACAGAATCCTAAAGCATCAATCTTGTTGCCCAACTCTCAGCCTACATGCACTAGGGGAGACTACTCAAGCACCTATTCCAGGGGTGGGCAAAATGTGGCCCACCAGCACATTCCATCCGGCCCACGGGACCCCTAAAAATTTAGAAAATTAATATTATTCTGCCCCTGGTTGCCTGTCATGTGGCCCTCAATAGCTTGCCAAGACTCAGTAAGCGGCCCTCCGCCCAAAATAATTGCCCACCCCTGACCTATTCCCCCTCTCATATTTATTTATACATCTATATTTATATATAGTATTGTCATTTGTGCTAGGCAGAGTAAATG